TATATTTTTGTTGTTGTTGTTGTTGTTGTTGTTAAGTATAATGAAAAGAAGAATTTGATTTCTATTTATCTAGTAATAATAATATAATTGTTTAACGAAATTGAACGAAAAGAAAAAGAAGAAGTATTTGAAAAATGTTTTTAGAGAAGATTGCAGAGAGATTGGAATTTTTTTTTTCTTTACTCTTAAAGAAGTAAGAAATAAATCTCTTAATCAGAAGTACCGATCTCTTTCTCTGTTCGTGTCATTCGAATCAGGAGAGAAGAAAAAAAAAAAGAAGAAAAAAAGAAGGATCGTTGATGTAATTGCAATTTTGTTACCTTAATCGGTTTGATTTCGAACGAGATCTAATTGTAAATGTTAACGATTGGATGATACAAGGTAAAACGTATGAACATCTTGAGTGTTGTTTTAAAATTCCATCGATTAAAAAAAAAAAAAAAGAAAAAAAGAAAAAAAAAGAGGTTTTTTATATTCGTTCTTTCTTGATCTCTTTGACGTTTCTTTTGTTTCACTTCAAACTAATAATATAAAATTTTTATTTAATTATATTAATTAATTTAATATTATAACAAAAATGTAATTTGTTCTCTTTAACGAATACCTAGAATAGGTAATGTGTTATAAATTATTAAGATAATTTGATAAATGACACAGTTATCGAACACTTTAACGGATTAACCAACATCCTAGTTAATTATCTAGATAATTTGTAGAATAAGTGATTTGTATAATTTAGCGATAACAGCAATACTAAATATGGCCTCCCCTGTTCTCTTTCACATCAGCATCCAATCCCCCCCACTTCGAAGAATACGTCGAGTCTTCTTTACCGTCGTCGAGTCTTCAAGTATCACGCGTACTCTATTCTCATCACCGAATCATCATCATCGGTTTCTTCTCCTTCTCTTCTTCTCTCATTCTCTCATCTTGTTCAGTGAAACGTGGCTCACGACGGTGTACACTTCGACGAAAGATTATTCCACTATTTTATACATTTGTTCGTTAGTTTCTTCCTTCTAAGAACATTAACCATAAGTGGTGTTTCTTCCTTAGTTTATTTAAATTTTTGTTTTGTTCCTTTTTTTTTTTTTTATTAACTTTCCTAAAGTATATTATTAATAAAAGTAAATTTTACGTAAAGTGATGCAAAAAGTTGTCATTATTATAATTAATAAATCAAAAATGTGATCAAGAAGATGATTAAATTAAAAATAATATAATAAATAAATGCAAACTTCTTATTTTGATCAAAGATTCTTTTATCAAACTATCATTTTTTATTTTTTAATAAAAATAATAAAAGGGGACAAAAAGTGTATATTAAAGTGAACAAGATAAGTGTCTTCTTACGGTTGTCCCATTCAAGGAGACAAGAAGGAAGGGTAAAAAAGAAACGAAAAGTTCAAGAAGAAGAAAAAAAGATTATTCTTTATCTTGCATCTGTGTGTGAGTGTGTGTATGTAAGAAGAAGGGTCCTATGACCTTGACGGTCCTAAGACTTGAATCCTGGAGCCGTATGAATTACAGTGTCTCATTCTCGTATCCTCCACCTCCTCCACCTCCTTCTACTTCTCGTAGATGGAAAAAGAGATGACGATATTTACGAGAGGTACGATCGTAGGGTCGATCAGATGACCTTGACGGGAATAGCTCGCAAGGTCGGATATCAGACTGTTTGTTAGTAGTAGAGTGTTGTTGTAATAGGACGGGAAAGTAAAGAAAAAGATCTAAAAAAAAGGGACATAAGGCAAGAAAATGTTGTCAAGTGGTAGTGATAGTGATTATGGTTGTTATTGTTGTTGCTTTTATACTACTACTGGTATAATACTATTTATTTTACCTATGATACTTTGGATTATTCGATTAACAAAGAAGAAAAATATAGTAACGTGTGTTGTTACTAAAGCTGCCAGGTGGGTTCATTTTGTATTTTATGTTTTTCTCTTTTTTTTTCTTTTTTTTTTTTTTATGCTTATTTTTATTTTTACCGACGAATTCTATTTATGCAGTTTTCTTCCGCATGAAATAAATAAAAAAAAAAAAAAAATACCAGAAACTGGTGTTATTCGTAAAAGAGGGAGGGAAAATAGGAATTCCCCGACTAACAATAAGTAAAGTTATGATTCATCTGTACCATAATAAGATTAGTATACCATCATTGGAAACATTGCAAAAGTTTATGCAAAATATTTTCCTACTTTATCTGTCATTTTAACAAACAAACAAACAAACAAATAATATAAATCTCCATACGATTAAAAAACTTATATTATTTTTTTTATATAATTAAAATGCTTCATGCGTAGATTTTTTGTTTATACGTTTTAAACTACTACGTTTTGGGGCTATTTATTTTCAAAATACACGTCACAATTGTCTATGGAACATACTTTAATCATATCTCTTCTGTATAATATACTCGTTTGGAATTTTTTCAACTATATACATATATGCGTAATTTCTATACGTAAAAGGAAATTTTCATAGGAGTCTAACGTGGTTCACAATTTGTTTTTATTACCAATGTCATTTTGGTAGTAGACCACGTGTTGCATCTTCTTTGTTCACATCAATGCACGCATGAACGAATATCTATCTACATGTGTGTGTGTGTGTGTGTGTATGTGTGTATGCATTTACTATGTATAGATATACCGATGGTACAAGAGAGACCAAACATCTATCTTTGTAATTTTCTCTTTTTCCTCGATTTCGCGTTGTTCTCGTTGGTTCTTTCGTAAATGCGTGCACCACACATACACACACACACACACACACACACACGTTTGGCATTTATCCAGAGGAAGCAAAATTCTCTGAAGAAGATACACGAGTTTAAACTACATGAGTGTTTCTATTTTATTTTTTTACTTTACTTTTATTTCTACGTATACGTTTTAATGTATTCGTCTATTCTCTGTGCACATACATATATGTGTGTATGTATGTTTGCAAGTATAATAGTGCAAGGTACAATGATCGTATGTATTGTAATCGAAACTTCCTGTCAGAGGTGAATTTAGATTCAGGAAATGTTACTTACTTTCCTTTATTTTTATTTATTTTTTTTCTTTTTCTTTCTTTTCCTCCATTAGACAGATGTCCGAAAGGTTTCTTTTTTTTTCTTTTTGTTCTACGAAGAGAGTTAAATGACATTTGTGATTGGTTGATGGAAAGGATTGGAATAAAAAAAAAGAAAAAGATAATGAAAGAAAGAAAAGTTGTTTAGCAATTTCTTCTATTTTCAAGCATGTGTTACCAGTGTCACACAGCATAGTAGAAGTGAAACTTATTTTTCTTTTAGTTATGCCAATTATTCGGTTTCTCTAACGACGAATTTTAAATATAGAAAAAGAAAGTTTTTAAGAAGGAGAAGGAGGAGAGGTATATAATTATATTAATATCGGTTTCGCGTTATTTTCTGAATAAAAAAAATATAAAAAAAAAAAAAAGAAATGAAACAGGTTATACTTGTGATAATTAAAATATTTCAGAGGAAAAAGATTTTTAAATGTTTTCTATTATTTTTCCCATTTTTAATTCTATCAAAATTATTTTTAAAATTGAATATAATATATATTGACACAATAATATATAAATGTAAAATGTATATCAAATATGAATAATATATTTAATAAATAATAATATTATACATTTAAATTTGAAAGTGCATTTTAAAAATGGAATTGACGTTTTTTACTGAATTTTATCGATTTTATTTTTAATGAAATTATTGTTGGAAATTTCCTATAATTAGTTTTTCACGTTTATAAATGTGATTGAAGGGAACAATTGTGATAGAGAAAGGGAGGGAAAAAAAAGGAGAAAGAGTGACGAACAACGAGCAAGGAAGAAGATGATTTTAGGAATAGGTATTTCCGTAACAGTATACCTCTGTCTTATTATATACACACACACACACACACTCTCTCTCTTTCTCTTGCTAACATATGAAGGAAATAAAAAGACGACGTTTATGTTCTCTCACCCTCTCTCTTACTCTTTCTCATCCTCCCCATTTCATCTTATTCTTTATATACCCTTATTTTTTTCATTTAGGGGAATCACACTTTATGGTCGTATAAATAAAAATATTTGTGTGTATGTGTGTGTGTGAATTTTCATTTCAGTGAAAACAATTCTATATAATAATCATAGTCATAGCTCGATCATCTTAATTCTTCAATTCTGAATCAAAATTTTGAATGTGATTAAAGAGTAGTATAATATTAAGTACACATGATGACGACAAGAAGACGGGGTCGTCGTGTGTTACGTCATCATTTTGATCCTTGAAATTCTGCTGTTACGTCGTCGAATTGGGAACATTATATTGTTTGGCCGACATTTCAAGGTCTCATAAGAGTATGCTGCTGTAGCAAATCGACCTTCGAAATGAAGTTTATTAATTGCTCCGGTTTTCTATCTCTCTCTCTCTCTCTTTCTCTCTTTACTGTTTCTATATAGTTCTTTCTTGTACTTTTTCTTAATAAAATTTCGTAAAATCTTGCATATGTGTGTTAGAAAGAAAAAACGAATTTACTTTTTGTTTTTCTTTGATATCTTCTTCGCAACACGGAATCTCATTAGTCAAAGGAGAGATAAGGATTTGTGTGTTAAGGAAAGGAAGTAGCGACAAGGAAATCTTACTTTTCCACTTTAAAAAAAGGAAACAATTACTTTACCACCGAGATAAGAAAGTAAAGAACCATGGTGGTTTTTTAACCGCACACAGTATTATATAAATACTTGTTGAGTAAAGAGTACACTTCTGTCCATCGAATTGTTATTACTTTTTTTTCTTTTTTTTTTTTTTTCTCTAAGAAATTCTAATGGTATGGAAAACAAACAATTGAATAATAGTTGTTACGTATCGATAATCCTATATAACTATAAAATTGAATTTCCATCATTAAAAATGAATTTTGCAGCTCGTTAACTTTGATTTATATTTATTTGGGTTTTCTTTTTTTTTTTTCTTTTTTTTTTCGTTTCAGGTCAGCTTTGCAAACGTTACACAAGGTATCGAGCAAGGCTCGCGAACAAAACTATTTCCTGGGTGGATTATCTCATGATTGGGTCAGTTACTATGAACAACGAATCGAAAGTGATCGATCGTGCCTCAACGAATGGCATGCAATGGATAATTTGGAATCCCGACGACCACCCTCTCCAGATAGTGTACGCAACAAGTGAGTACCCTTCATTTTATTTTATTTTTTACCTATCTTTTTTTTCTTTTTTTTTTCTTCTTTTCAATATATCAAAGTGTGATATTACGTATTTGCAAGGTTGATACATTTTATTTTAATACCCGTGTTAATGTCGATGGAAGGACGAATTCAGTGACCTGTAATATAATGACATTGAGTTAATTCTCAATAAGATATAAATATAAAAAAAATATCGTGTGTGCACAGATCACACGTGTTAGAAGTGAAACCTTCGAAAAACTAAGTTTCGAGAGAATGAGATGAATGCAGAATATCAGGTGTAGGATAATTGTAGGGTTTATTTGTTATAATATTATTATTATAATATTGTTACCATATTCAAAAATTATTTTACATTTATTGGTATATAATACATAACATATTACACAATCCTATATGTTTGTCTCTTTTTCTCTCATTATTTAGTATAGCAGCCGTTTCATAGATTCGTTTCATAACTCCGTTTCATTTCTTCGTTACATAGCTCCGTTTCCGTTTATTTATCTTTCAGATCACTCTCATTCTAAAGAAGTTTTCACTTCAATAATATTATAAAAGAAATATGATAAAAAAGAAAGAACAGATTAGAAATAAATTACAAAATTTCAAGCGTATATCATTTACTCAAAGAGTATTTCGATAGATCCGAAAAAGGCCACGTGACTAAAAAAAAAAAAAGGAATATTTTTCAACGTCAATACGTCTCGAGAATAATCGATAAAGATGAAAACCCAACCAACCACCACCAGATTCATCTCAAAAACCAGCTGGTAGGAGTTAGTCCGCGCGGATTTAGCTTGGTTCCTTGCCAAAACTCAATCGTTTCTGACGTATCTACTTTCCTACGTGTATATAATATGTGTATATGTGTGTGTGTGTGTGTGTAGATTTCACACGCTGAGAAACTGACCGAGAACATAACTTTATCACCGTCCTTCAATTATTTCCAGTTTCTACGTCTGACACCCTCCTTCTATCTTCCTCTTTCTCTCCCTCTCTCTCTCTCTCTGATTGGTTCTCTTTCTACCCCCCCATTCCATCCATCCCCACTAAACCTTCTTCCACCTTTTTCAAAGATATTGGATCAGTCGATTATTGTATATTTATGAATGTTATAAGAAGGAATTACCGGTTTCGTTCGTTACCATCAAACACCCACCCACCCCCGGTTTCTTTGAGAATATTTCACTCACGTATTTCTTTCTAACACCGTTTTATCCTCAACTAAGGAGGCCGCCATTATGCATCGCTTATACGACGATTCCACCTTTTCTAATCTATAAGTTATATAAATTGTTATTCAAAATGTACATTCGTAATAATTCATATGATTTTTTTTCGGATAAAATAATGATGGTGATGATGAAAATCTAAAATGAATTCTGAACGATTAAAATTATCACAAAATAAAATAATTGTTTTTACAAAAATTTAATTTCACTTTTTTCTCTATTATCTATCTTGCTAAATTATTTATTATATAATAAATAATGTAATGAGAGTATACTATAATACATTGTGTTTAAAATATAAACCATATTAATTTCCTAAAAAACAAAAAGAACAATTGGCACAATAAACTTGTATAATTCCTCGTTTCATTAAAATCTCTTTGAAACACTGACCTACATCAAAGTTTCTTGAAAATAAACCCTGGCTCGTGTACACAAAATACTAACTGAAATAATTTCTATTTACTAAAGAGAATAACAAAAAAAAAAGAATACTTGAAAGAGTTCGTAGACCTCTTCCTTTTGTTATTTGTTTCTTTCAACGTGGTATAATACACATATACACACACATATACACACCAAGAATATACGAATTGCTCACGCACGAATTCGTAGAATAGATTCGAGCACCGAAAGGAAAGTGGTGGGGGAAGGAAAAGAAGGTTTTGTTTACAACGATCGTAAACAAAAAAGAAAACATGTGTTTAATTCGGTTATACTAATACTTTAATTCCATATTTGGGCATCAACTGACCTACATAAATTCTTAGAAGTTGTTAGCTCGGTTAAATGACTCTTTATACGATATAATATAGTAGTTTTCATACTTTTAAAGAAGATCTTTCGATATCATAGGAATCTTTAATATTAAACCCTTTGCTTACAAAATTGTTCAAAACCCTGTAATAGGGCTGATCAGTAAAATGATTGACCTACTTTTTATATTATTAAAAATATAGTATATTTTGTGTTTTTTTTTTTTTTTTTTATTACAGACCGAGTGAAAGAGATGAGACAGAACGAGTAATTCGATCAACGTTAAAAGAAATCATGATGTCTGTTGACCTAGACGAAGTTACTTCAAAATACATCCGAGGAAGATTGGAGGAAGATCTTGATATGGATTTAGGTGAATTTAAACCATTCATCGATCAAGAAATGCTTACAATATTGGGACAAATGGATGCACCTACTGAAATATTTGATCACGTTTATCTTGGTAGCGAATGGAATGCTAGTAACTTGGAGGAATTACAAAAGAATGGGTACATATATATATATACATATACATATTTATGTTATGTGTTATCTGTATATTTGTTTTTTCAATGAATTTATGTATTTTATATATGTATCTTTGTTTCAGAGTGAGACACATATTAAACGTGACACGTGAGATAGATAATTTCTTTCCGGGAATGTTCACTTATCTGAACGTTCGTGTCTATGACGATGAAAAAACGGATTTGTTGAAACATTGGGATGACACGTTCAAATATATAACTAAAGCAAAGAAAGAAGGTTCTAAGGTATTGGTGCATTGCAAGATGGGTGTTTCAAGATCAGCATCGGTTGTGATAGCGTACGCTATGAAGGCCTACAATTGGGATTTTTCTCAGGCGTGGAAACACGTCAAAGAAAAACGTAATTGTATCAAACCTAACAATAGTTTTCTTTTACAATTGGAAACGTATCAGGGTATTTTAGACGCCATGAAGAACAAAGAAAAATTACAAAGATCTAAATCCGATACTAATTTAAAATCTCCTTCATCGGTGAAAGATCAATCGAAGAAGGAAGAAAAAATTGATAATAGAAATAACGGTTTGCAAGAGATATCTGGTTTAGAATTGAAGAAGAGTAATCAAAGACCCAAAAGTTGGTCCCCTAACGTGGAACTAACGGAAAATATGCTTCCATCTGGTACACAATTTATTTTGTTATTTGATCGATTTAATGATAACACAAATTATTTTACAATTGATAGTTAATTTTGTATAATTTTAGCACCACTGTCGCAATCCTTGGAAAGTATAGACAAAGTAGGTAGCACGGAGGTTACGAGGGAAGACCTTTTACGTGGTTCCAATCAAAAATCAACGATGGATCAAGAAGCACGTAACGTTTTGATGCCTTGTGATAATGGTCAATCCTATAGCGTGTCGCAGAATCAGATATTTCATCTTCCTGGTCCTGACACACCTTGCACGAAACACAAAACCTTTAACAAATCGGAAACGCAAGGACAAAGACGAAAAGGTTTGGTTTTAAATTTGACGAATCAATTTGAAGCCGCTAGCAGCAAACCCTCATCACCTGGTTCGGATTCAGAGGGTAGTAAACCATTGCCCCAAAGTCCAGATGAGATCGAGGAAGAAAAAAAACCTTTGGAAAATGGTCTTGATCGATCACAAGGTACAACATCGGACGCTTTGACGGTCGAACAAGTTGTCTGGGATCCAGGTGAAAAAAGACGTAGAAAGAAAGAAGAAGAATTGAATGGAGAGAATATAAATGACAGTGAATGTCTAGTCTGGACTGCAGCAAACGATACAACAACAGCAACGTGCCCTGAGTCGTGTAATAGCCTTCTACTCAAGGCTAACGGAGAAATAGTGAGTAACAGTGAGAATAACGAATGTGTCGCGTGTGGACCAACGAATACACCACCTATGATAGTAACAACTAGTATGACGACTATGACGACTATGACGATGACAATGACGACGACAATGACGACGGCGGCAACTGCAACTGCAACGACAACTGCGACGACGACAACGACAATGACGACGAGTAATAATTTCGGTAGGAAAGTGAAAAGGGATGGTGATCCGTTCAGTGCACAATTAGACAGGGTGTTCGATCGGGAGGAAAGACGTGGCGAACCTAATACGACGAGGGATTCGCCTAGTAGACAAAGTTCTTGGAGTAGTTACGATAGCGCGGTTGTTCTCGACAACAATTCGGTGCACAGCTCGTGGGCAACTCTACCTTCGAGAAACAGTTCCTGGGGATCATACGATATGAGACCCACCGATCTCTTAGGATCAAGCGGTCTATTTCCTTACGACAAGGAGGAAATACCTTGGCATCCTGGTACGGTCAAACGTACCAAACAAAAACTCGAAGAAGGTGTCAGCACTGCCGGCGTTAAACGCGTATGTACACAAAATTCTGATGCCGATGATAAAGACAACAGATTGACGGCAGAATCGGACGAGGTTCCTGTCGAAGGTTACAATTCTCTTTTACTTCATCATCATCATAATTCATCGCCAACACCGCGAAGGAGGGATTCATCGCCTAGCCAAGAAACGACTAATCTCAAAGTAGAAACAGCGAGAAATTCGCCTAGTCCTTTAGGTGGTATTGATATTTCATCGGTTTCTATAAGACAAGTCGGAAGATTGTCAACCAGCGCACCAGCACCTTCCTCATTATCTTCCGATACAGATTTACCTTCCTCTTTGAGATCGTGCAGATCCGAAAGCGAAACGTCCAGTCCCTGCGTCGTTAATACAACCCAATGTCCATCGGTGAAACATCATAAAATGGTCCTCGAAAATCTTAGCAACAAATCTATGTTTAGCAAACGGTGTTTATCCGTGGACGATTCACCGGAGTCCGAATGTCCAAGGAGTACGTCTGGTATAGTGAAGAATCTCAAAAAGGAATTCGAAGCAAAATCAACCAAATTAGAGAAAAACTTTTCCGATAGTGCTTGTGATAATCATGAGGGCACGTCGTCGATTTTAACACGACCAAAAAGGGACGTTAAGATTCGTAGTTTACCGTCATCACCGGTAATACCTCACAACGAATCGAAGATCCAAGCATCGTCTAGCGTCGGTGAAACTAAAGACAAAGAGGTTATTAAAGGAAACGACGATTCTAACGTCGTTCAGAACGCTACGGAAGATCTTTCGGTTAGGGTATTAGTAGGTAAATACGAAGTGGCCAAACCAACATCGACGGACTCTAAAAGATCATCTGACGTACAGTTACGTGGTCACAAGGATAAAGAGTGGGACTCTATGGAGGTTCATCCACCTGCTAAATCGAAAATTGCGCCAGAATTTGCCAGAAGATCGGCACCGATTATGATCAATAATAATCATTCTAATGCGCTTTTCGGTGAAACGACGACAACAAACGAAACACCCGGTAGACCACCTGTTCCTTCACCAAGTATCGTTGTCGCTAGCGTCGTAGCTAAGGCAGCTAGTAAAAAACAACAGCAGCACGGCAGAACTCATCCGCTTGCCAGGCTGCAGGTCAGGCCTAGGCACAACAGTCCAGTTTACAATACCATGTAAAGAAAAAAAAACAAAACAAGAAGAGATAAAAAGAGAGACGATAAAAAAATACTCTTTTGACGATGAACGAGCGATTTACTCTGTTTATAGGACGACTGATAAAATGAGTAGTGTGTAATCGCGCGTTTGCCAACGTGTTTAGCGAGTCTTGCTAGGTTGGCATTTTTAAGTACACCCTCCCCTGCCCTACCCCCGTCGTCATTCACTCACTCACTCCCTCCCTCAACTCCTCCCCGCCCACGATTGAAACCGTGTGATCTCTTACATGCCAACGCGAGTGGTTGGTGGTTGCTCCTCGAACAGATTTTTAAATACGATTACTGCGTGCGATGAGAATGTTTTTAAATAATTATCGAGTTAAAGAAAGAGTGAGAGAGAGAGAGAGAGAGAGAGAGAGAGAGAAAGAGAGAGAGAGAGAAAGAGAGAGAGAAAATAGAAATATAACCAAGTTTAGTCGTTCGCACCCTGTTTCGAGGAATAAGAAAATGGATCTTTATTTTTCTTATCTTTCTTTCTCTCTTGTACTTTTCCTTTTTCTATATAATCACATTGTTAAAAAAAAGAAAAAAAAACTGCTGTTAGAAAAAGCTAGGCAGCAATCTTTTTAGTTCCTTCCTCTTTCAGAGATGATGCGCGTCATACATATCTTTGGCTTGGTGTATTAGTTAAAATTGTCTCTGTCGCACGGAGATAAAAAAGAAATGGTGCACAGTGAAAAAAAAAAAATCAGAAAGAAAATAGTAATAGAATATATATAGAATATAGAATAAAAAATATAGTATAGAATAAAATAGAATAGAAAAAATGAAAAGAAAGGAAAAGAAAAGAAGAGATAAGAAAAGTAAAGTAAAGTAAAGTAAAGTAAAGTAAAGAAAAGAAAAGAAAGTGAAAGTTTACGAAAATTGTTATTCCTAATGTCACATCTCGTCGTAAATTAGCGTTGTTGTATAGAGTATAAATATGAACGTAAAAAAAAATCAAACGTTGCGTTATCTTTATGATAAAACAAAGTAATAATGTACATTATACACGACGACGACGACGACGACGACGTTTGTGCTTGATTATAATGATGATGGTGATGATGATAATGATGATGATGATTATAATGATGATGATGATAATAATAATTATAATAATTATAATAATAATAATAATAATAATGATGATGAGATAAAATATTATGTGAATCAATTAATGTATGTATGTTCAAGGGAACGCGCGTGAAGAAGCATCGTCGTTGGCTTTTTTTTGAGTTTCATTTATAAAATGGCGAATGCTCAGTCAGGCTGTGAATGTAAGGTCTGAGCATCGCTCGTGAAGAAGACGTAGGCTTTTTTTTTGTTTCTTTTCAGCTTCGCTTTGAGTTTCTTCATGGATACACGTAGTATTAATAATGATAATAATTACAAACAAATAAACAAACAAAATAATAAACAAAAAATATACATAAATCATCGGGATTAATGTTAAAACGTGAAAGAAATAAAGAAAGAGAAAAAGTGAGAGAGAGTAATGGAGAAGGTAGAGGAAAGGGTTGGGGGTTGGGGTTGGGGGGAAGAAAAAAAGCGAAAGAAAAGAGGGATAATCTATCTAATCTATGACATTGTTGGGGAGTGATTAATTATTGAAACGTTTAAAAGAAAGGTTATATATTAAAAAAAAAAATAAATAAATAAAAATTAAAATTAAAAAGAAAGAAAGAAAGGCTATTACGAGGAGGACACCTCGGATCGATTTTAATGAATAAATAAATAAATAAATAAATAAATAAATAGATAAATAAAGAAAAAATGAAACAGATAAAAAAACAACACTATTAGCAATTTATAGTGAGTCTCATGTGATTAGAAAGAAAGAAAGGAAGAAATAAAAAAAAAAAAAACAAAGTATGTACTTTAAGTGGTGCGATGTAATAACACAAAGTTAGCAAAAAAGAGAGAGTGAGAGAGAGAGAGAGAGAGAGAATGTAATGAATGTTTAAAGAATGATTGTGAATAAAAAAAAAGCGCGAGTGTGATTCGATGAAGGTACTGGGATCGGTGAGCACCCGATATATATGTATATGTATATTTATATGTGTATATAATTCGAATTTATTTACCTCTATTTCGAATCGTTCCCGAAACAAACAAAAAATAAAGAAATAATTCATTTCGCTCGATCGGAGCTTATCTGTTGTTCTTAACTCGATAAGAAAAAAGAAGAATAATAAAGAGAAATAGAAAAAGAAAAGAAAAAAAAGAAAAGAAACGATTCTCGCACACGATATAATTATAATAAGAAAATTAATAAGTCTCGTTATCACGCTCACGAGATGCATGTACCTTCATATTTTAATTGATCGTTAATTATCCTAACTATATTTGTACTCTTACTATTATAAATCGTCTCGTTGTTTAAGTAATTACGATTAATTCAGTTCGATCGATCGTATTTAATCCGCTTCATAATATCGCTGTTGTTGTTGTCACTACCATTTTTTTTTCTTTTTTTCTTTTCATTGTTCCCCCCTTTTTTTTTTTTAATAATTTTTTTTTACTTTTATTTCTCCAATTTGTTTCTTCTTTTTTCTTTTATTATTACACATTATATATATATATATATATATATATA